TTGGGGGGGCGGGGGGCAGCTCAGGGATGGTTCACTGGGACGATCCCTGGGTACCGAAGGACTGTCTCACGAGCAGGGGTTAGACAGGCCGGGAGCCTCCTCGCTGGGGTTGAGGGGAACGAGAGGCGAAACATACAGAAGCCCGACAGGGTCAACGCTGGGAGGATGCTTACCCCCACCCTTTGTAAGGGAGGGGGTCTAGGGCCGGAGGGGCACAGTCTGAGAATGAAGGGGGCACCAATTTCGGACTGAGATAAGGAGGGATTTCCTCCCTCGGAGGGCTGTGGGTCTTTGCCACAGGGAGCTGCGGAGGACGGGAGTGTATTTGAGAGATCCCCGATGCGTCGAGCGAGGGTTACAGGGAAAGCGGATGTGAATTGGGGTGGGGGGGGGGGGTTGCGAACGGCCCTGTCGCTGTTTTCTCCCGTGTCTGAGGTGGCTAACACTCACCGCCTGAGCGTAGGCGCTCACAGCCTGCTGGCAGAGGCGCGGATTCTGTCCCGTCACGAAGAACAGAGACAGGTAGGCATTTCCGAGGATATCTGAGAAGGGTGGTGGGGGGGAATGGAAGAGAGAGAGTCAGGAATCATCGGCACGACTCCAACGCACAAAACCCGCCCCCCTTCTTCGCCAACCCTCCGTCCAGGTCAAACTTACACCATGATGTGCCATCCTTGACATCCATCTGTACAGCCAGTTTGGCCTGTTCCACGCTGGCAAACACGTTCCTGGCATACTCCTCTCCCTGAGCACTGATCTGACGCAGCACCATCGACAGGTTTCGAAGTGACACCTTGTTCTTACACTGGGGGTGGGAAAACCGGGAGTTAGGGTCGGATAGCTCACAGACTCAACCCTGAAAACCCTCTCGGAGACGCCGAGGGGACGACGCCATTCCCAGAGAGCCAGGGACCGAGTACAGGCACAGTGTGTGTGACAGGAAAGGAGAAAGGGAGAGAGCGACCGGACAGAGACAGAGTGAGTGAGCGACCGGACAGAGACAG